TATTGGAGAACAGGTTGGAATGTATTAATGAAAAACACCATGAAATGGTTGGAGGTTTTGGGAGCGTGCAACTAGAAGACTCTCCGAATCCATGCCTTCCAATTTACCCAGAGGGGTCCATCCTCCGATCACATTGATGCCAAAACAGGCCACCTCACCTCCAAGCTACTGGAGGAGACCGAACCATAATACAGTTTTAAAGTTCTGCTTAAATCATGCCAGCCTGAAGAGAGGCATGGAGTTTGGAGCCACTTCCTATTGTTCCAGAAATGGTCTGGAGATGGATGAGGGCAACAGTCTCTACAACTGAGGGTAAAGACGGGGAAGTCTTTGGAAAACCACAAGGGGAGACCAGGGGTGTGTGTGTGTAATCTCTAGAGCAGTGTTTCTCAACCTTGGCAACTTGGAAGATGTCTGGACTTCAACTCCCAGAATTCTGGCTGGGGAATTCTGGGAGTTGAAGTCCAGACATCTTCAAGTTGCCAAGGTTGAGAAACACTGCTCTAGATGATTAAACCTATTGTTGAAATGCTCTCATCCACAAGCTATCTGGAAGGACACCATCTGTAGGTTTTGTTGGGCATCTGCCAGTCCATCTTGATGGAACGGAGACCCTGGCAACTCTCTTGTTGCCAGAGAAGGTTAGGCGGCACAAAATGCTTCTATTTTAATGGTGCTTCGATGTCCCCGTTGCCTGGGAATCATTGAATGCACGCAATAAGGGCCATTGGTCTCAAATGAAACAGAACACAGATCTGAGACGTTGATAGTTGACTCCGAAAACTTCGCCAAAGGGAGATGCACGCTGACCCATCAGCTACGCAAACCTTGAAACTGAACTGAAAAATGCAGTGTGTGTGTGTGTGTGTGTGTGTGTGTGTGTGTGTGTGTGTGTGTGTGTGTCTTTCCTCTTGGTAGCCAGAAAAAGGTATTTGCGTTCTCAAAAGTTGGACGGCAGCTTTAGAGCTCACCTGAGGATGGCTCTGGAGACAACTGGCATTGTTGCTGATGTTTTGCCAACTGCATAACACCTGGCGAACCTCCTATTATTTAATTGGGGTCTAATGGATGGGCTGACTGACACGCCTGCACCCAGCTGCAGGTGTGTGTGTGTGTGTGTGTGTGTGTGTCTGTGTGTGTCGGATCTTAATCACATGAGAGTCAGGTTCAGTGAAAGCCAACCAGTCTTAATTAAGAAGTCATGTTCTGTTCAATGGAAATCTAGTTACGCAAAGGAACAATCTCAGTATCGCCTTAACTCACGAATTGTTTTCTTGAACACATCATTCCATTATGCCTTGTGCTGGCCTGGGACTGACTTTAAGTACAACCCCATTCCACCAGTGTCACTATATACTGTACGTGAAGAAGAGTCAGGGAGGAAGATTCAGCCTCCAATCAGTTTATTTACATTTATTTTATGAAACAGGGTTTGTTTTTTTCCTGATCTGGGATCCTTCAGGTATGGTGGAATCACAACGTTTGGAGATTTTTAGAGAACGTCTCGCTGTCTGTGTCCAACTGCTGGAATAACTTTGGGAGTCTGTGTGTGTACCCATATACATCATGTATGCCTACCCTTATGCATCATATATGTGTACCCATTTGCATCATGTATTTGTACCCATATACATCATGCGTGTGTAGCCTTATGCATCATGTATGTCTACCCTTATACATCATGTATGTGTATCCATTTGCATCATGTATTTGTACCCATATACATGACACATGTGTACCCATATTCATCATGCATGTGTAGCCTTATGCATCGTGTATGTCTACCCTTATACATCATGTATGTCTACCCTTATGAATCATATATGTCTACCCTTATGCATCATGTATGTCTACCCTTATGTATCATATATGTGTACCCATTTGCATCATGTATTTGTACCCATTTGCATCACGCATGTGTACCTATAGTCATCATGCATGTGTACTCATATGCATCATGCATGTGAAGCCTTATGCATCATGTATGTCTACCCTTATACATCATGTATGTGTACCCATTTGCATCATGTATTTGTACCCATATACATGACACATGTGTACCCATATTCATCATGCATGTGTAGCCTTATGCATCGTGTATGTATACCCTTATACATCATGTATGTGTACCCTTATGCATCATATATGTACCCATTTGCATCATGTATTTGTACCCATATACATCATGCATAGGTACCTATATTCATCATGCATGTGTGCCCATATGTGTAACCTTGTACATCATGCATGTGTACCCTTATACATCATACATCATGTATGAGTACCCATAAGCATCATGAGTAGCTTCAGACCTCAAGGTGGACCACTGAACCTTTTGCAAAAATAAATATTTATGAGCCAAGCGATCGAAAAAGTCCAAGCTACTCAACAAACTTTTGTTGCTCTGTTAGAAGAGATGCTTCAGAGGATGACAATGTTCTTTTAAAACCGTGAGAAAAATATGAAACGTGGCTTAGAAGCCCATCATTCAAATTTCACCTCCCCAAAGTGATTAGGATCTGTTGATCATGATTAAAAGCAGGCCCTGCATCGCTTGTAAAGCACTCACTGCTGGCTTGTTTGGATCTGGCTTAGTTCCTGTGTAGAGAGAACCATTGTGGTTTGTTTATGGTTTAGTGATATATATGTAGCTTATTCATATATTTTTTTTTAAAAAAAACAACACCTTAGTCCAAAGGTAAGAATCCATAAGAATCCGGAGTCCTACCGGATTGGGCGGCATATAAATTTATTAAATTACAATTACAATAATATATTTTTAAGAGCTGATTTCTAAGATATGGCCAGATGTTCAGCCATCGTTGAACTCTATGAAATCTTGAAAGCTGCCTCTTCTCTTTTCACAGGGGAAACACACACACACACACACACACACACACACAAAGCTGGAGAAAGAACAAATACATTTTTGTCTTCTTCTTCTTCTTTTTTTGGAGGTCTCCAAGGGCTCCTTCCCAAAACGTTGAGGTGTGGATGAAAACTCTCTCTCTCTCCCTGTGCACAGTTTTTGCCTTTTCAGGTTACAGTTCCCCGAAATGAATGCTTTTGATGTCCAATCACGTGGTTTGGAAAAACAAGAGGAGGAAGCGCTGGGCAGTGCATAGGAGGGAGGTTTTTAGGATCAAAGTGAAGCAGCTGGGTGTCATTTGCATGGTTGTGAGGTCTTTGTCCAAGCTGGGGGAATGTAGGAGTGAGGGCTGATGGGTGAATCAAGGAAGACTCACTTAATGGGACATTAAGTCATTGCAGTTCTCTCTACACAAGATGAACCAAGATGCAGGTCCGTCGTGCTTTAAGGGGCTTTGGCGGCTTTCTACTTCAACACCCCACCCCCATCCAAGGCAGGAGTCCTTATATTTTTGTTTCATCTTTTTATAGCAATAGCAGTTAGACTTATGTACCGCTTCATAGGGCTTTCAGCCCTCTCTAAGCAGTTTACAGAGTCAGCATATCGCCCCCAACAACAATCCGGGTCCTCATTTTACCCACCTC